GTGAAGGGTAAACTCAGGGCAGCACCTCTCCTTCACCTCCCAGCACCATCACACTCACACACCGGACCCCGCGAGAGACATTGCCGGCTCATCAGAACAAAACTGGGACAGCTTTCTGCTCTGTACGTGAAATCATGGTAAATCGGCTGACTCCAAAAGGACAGTTTCACCTTCTTTAAGGGTTGTTCCCTTCCATGTTTCCGGCATTCCCGTGCTGTAGAAAGCGGCAACATGATTTCCGCTAATCGGTCAAAGGAGGGTGGGGGAGAAACACAACGAGCAGCCCCCAGAAAGAAAATGAAGTAGCTGGCCCGTACGGGGATCGAACCCGCGACCTTGGCGTTATTAGCACCACGCTCTAACCAACTGAGCTAACCGGCCTCGCTGGATGACGTTTTACCAGCACTTCTGATCCGGGACCACATGCGGGGCAGGGGCGGTGCCGCCCCGCGCTGAACGGAGACATGCATGTGATGTCTACGTGTGTGCCTTGTACAGCTTCCCCTTCTCTAGCCGCCTCGCTGCAGTGCAGAAGTAGCAGTCTCTCCGTGCCCACCCGCGTTTAGCAGGGCATCGCGACTGCCGGACCTCAAAACAGCGCTCCGTGGAGCACAGGCAAAAACAAGTTGTCAGGAGTGGGATTCGAACCCACGCCTCCAGGGGAGACTGCGACCTGAACGCAGCGCCTTAGACCGCTCGGCCATCCTGACGCTTAAAGCGGTATCTCGGCAAGCTTAGTTAGGCTCTACCGCAGAACCGGCTCGCCCGAGCCCCAAATGCCTCTCCTTAGCACGGCATTGTTAACCCCCATTCTGCTAATTCCTGAGGAGGTTACCATGGGGTTTGTTCTGCTTTACTTCTAATGAGCCTACAGACGATTCGAGAACAGTGAGAGGCAAAGGGAGGCTGCTTTTCGACAAGGGAAGAGAAAAAGGACCGTTGTCAAGTGCATGTGATAAGAATTTAAACAAAAAGAGGCAGATTTATATTAGATATAAGGAAGAAATTCTTCCCTGTGAGGGTGCTGAGGCGCTGGCACAGGGTGCCCAGAGAAGCTGTGGCTGCCCCATCCCTGGCAGTGTTCAAGGCCAGATTGGACAGCGCTTGACCAACCTGGTCTAGCGGAAGGTGTCCCTGCCCACATGAAGTTTAAGGTCCCTTCCAACCCAAATTATGCTGTGACTTGGGGAGGGGGAAGGCAGAAGGGAACACAAAAAAAAATTCATAAAAGCAACTCCCCTCCCCCCCCCATGATCTTCCTTATATTAAGTGTATAGTGAAGTTTCAGTTCCATAAAGAAATTAGGCCCTAATATTTTTGGGTCACTGCGAGATGCAAACAGCTGATGCCTCATGGTCTAACATTACATAGCAGTATCTTGAGATGCATTTTTGCTCAGTTCTGAAGAGAACAGTGCAAACCAAAGTCCAATCACTTCTCCCTCCAACACCATTACTTTAAACAATTGACCTTGAATACCAAACCCACATATTCTTCATTCACTTCTCTTCACTGCATTAATTTGCCGTTGCAGAAGATGGTTTCTAGAGGTATGTGCTAGACTTTCAGCTTCAGAATTTGTCTGAACTAAGCTGACTGTCACTTCCTATCTTAGTGGCTATTTGGGTTTCCTAAGAAAGGTTAAAGCCCTTTCCTGGAAAGAAGTTCATACAAATGGAGAAAACAACTAATCCCCATGGCAGTATCAGATGCACCTAACAGTTACACGGCTGTAACTGAGTAATTGAGACTACAGTTACACTCAGTCAAAGGAAGACACACAGGACAAAGGGATAATGCGTACAAGAGATCCATTTAAACTGTATTTAGTAATATACCTTACAGAGGAAAACCTGCTAGGCAAACAGTTGCTCCAAGGAAAGGAAGAGGAGCTCAGACCAGAGTGCACATGAACTCCTGAGAAGAAACTACAACCCAAGTTCTGTTCATGTAAATGTCCAAACCAAAATAATTTTTGAAAATTAGTCCATGGCCTCCTGGTTGTAGAAGTGAACAGATGTCCTGATGTCTTCCAGAAAACTAGTGTCACAAGGCAAATGAGCAGTGTATGCTGTGTTCTCCAAACAGTTAAATTACTCAAGTTGCCCGGCCTTGCTTGATTCTGAGCTACTCAACACTTGCACCATGGTTGGATTTATGAATGTAAGCACACAGAAAAATACAAGTTACTGTTTTTGTGTTCTCTGGCCCCTGTATCCGTGCTATAAATTGCAATAATCCCACAGCTTCACTTCCACATCATGTCAAGGCAGGCAAGAGAAATGACTAACAGCCATATCATCCTCCACTGGGACACTTGTACCAATAGGAACCACTGGCCTGCACACAGATCTCCCTTCACTCAAAAGGCTACTGAATCTTATTCCATGGGGCATGACCATACAGGAAACAACACCTAGTTTCTTATCAGCATACTAACTTGTCATGCTCTGCCACTAAGCATTAGAAGTGAACTCTTTGAAGGCCCTCATTTGTTATAGAAGTTAAAGGAGCTGTGCCAAAATCCCAGAGAAATACTGTAATGAACAGAAATCCAGAATATGCAGTGGATATGGCCAGGGACATAGTAGGGAAGGTGCACTACCAATAAAAAAATTGTTTGCCTAGAAACTTTGCTCACCTGCACATACTTCTGGTAGGAAAGAGAACACAAACCATACACTAAGAACTTGTAACTCATCTACTATTAAAAAACTTGGAGCACATTCTAAGGAAGAATAGTTTCTACATTAAAAGGTTTGCACCAAGGAACATAACAGGAATCTACTTCCTTGCTTGAATAAATGCTTTGAACAGGGTACAGAAATGCTTCTTCTCTTAGACATAAAAAGTGCTCCTAAGGGACAAAAGAGAAAATGAAGTATTCCTCCAAGTCCTTTCCTTAATTTTGTTACTTATATATTCTAAAGGTTACATAGTCTTTTTAGAGCATCATGCTCAGAATATTTTTTATTTCATTCATGCCTACCCAACCTCAAACTTTCCTACCTACGCTTGACTCTCTTGTTCTTGTTTCACTTATGTCTGTGTGTCTCCTGTCCTGGAGGGAAAAGTTCTCTAACTGAAAGACATACATAGGAAGCCAAGAAAAAACCCAAATGTTTGTTTTTAATAATTACTCAAAAGTGGTTTAAAACAACAGCTTAATTATACCTTTATTAACCTTTGTATACATAACCTAATTTCAGTATTAAAACAAATTCCCAAAGTTGGTAACTTCTCTTCCTCAAACAGTTACAAAAATGTAGTTATTTTTTCAAAATAAATGACCATTTAAACCAGGAGTCCTTTGTTGAAGTCTGCACAGTTACTTGGAGGTATAAAATCTCTTTCCACTGTGTATTGTAAAGGATAATTAGATGCCAAAGAGAATTTTGAGGTCAGCCAGAGTGAGCTTAGTGAAGGTCTCCCCTTTGCCTGACAGCACCTGCTGGGCTAGAACTTTCTTCCTCTTCTGGAGTTGTACAATCTTTTCTTCTACCGTTCCTTCACAGACAAACCTAAAAAAGCCCAAAAGCCACATCACTTCAACTGCTAGGAAAAAGGTGTCAGCAATATATAAGCACTTCCCCAGCAAGTTTCCAAAGACCCGTTGTCATGGTTTAAGCTGAACCCAGGACACCCATCTACTTAAGACGGGCATATTAGTAGGGCATCTTACACCCACCTATTCTGTGACTGCCAAAATATACCTGTGCACAGAAAACATCCACATGTTATAACATCTAAAATAAAAGTCTTATGCACTTTAGGCCTTAACTTTGGTCACTTGAAGCAGTAGTAATTCTGTGATAAAATACTGTAATGACTGTTAGATAACTGATGGCACCAATTACACTAAAAGCATTGTACACGAAATAGTATTTTAGATTCCAGTTTCTTTTAATTTGCTGTGCATTTACAATAACTAAGCTAGCCTTTCGGTACTTACAAGTAGAGAGGCAAAGCTGGCTTTTAGAAAAAGCATCTAATTAGAAGTGCTCTATATGTTCATGGTAGTGATGTTGGAAGGGTCAAGGCTTAGGCAGCACAGTGAAAAATCTCCACTCGGTAAGAGAAGAGAAATGGTTTTGTGCATGAATTTTTCTCTGGAATGAACAAGACATTCCCACTAAAACAACAGGTTGGAAAACAATAAACCATGGCTAGCTATTAGGACAGCAACACGCAGGCAAGTGACACACAGAAACATTCTCATGTGGTCTCTCTCAGTACCCCCCATCAGACCTTGTGCCTAGCTCTAAGTAAAGAAGCAAGACTCTAACCAAGGCCCTGGCTCACCAACTAAAGCCATGAGTACATGAGCAGCAACAGCCCCATTTACTGCTAAGGAAAATCCTGACCTGTGTATCACAACATCCTTCTGCTGCCCCACTCGGTAAATGCGGTCACATGCCTGGTCCTCGAGAGCAGGATTCCTGCAAGATAAAGGAAAAAAAAACCCAAACCAAAAGCTTAAGGGCTTATGTCCAGGAATAGTTGAAATATCAAAGCCTCTGTTCTTGCCTCATTTGCCTGCCTCCAGAGCATCCCATTTTCTTCCTCTGTAGAACTAAAACTGCTCCCATGTCACTTTAGGTTTACTAGCTCTTCGTTAGGGACTGTAGTGGTAGGACAAGGGGTAATGGCTTTAAATTTAAACAGGGGAAGTTTAGATTGGATATAACGAACAAGTTCTTCACAGTGAGGGTGGTGAGGCACTGGAATAGGTTGCCCAGGGAAGTTGTGAATGCTCCATCCCTGGTGATGTTCAAGGCCAGGTTGGACCGAGCCTTGGGCAACATGGTTTAGTGCGAGGTATCCCTGCTCATGGCAGGGGGGTTGGAACTAGATGATCTTAAGGTCCTTTCCAACCCAAACCATTCTATGATTCTATGATTCTATTTCCCTTTGCCCTTGGTAGAAGTATGCTATAATTCCACACAAAGTCAGCTGTATGAATGAGACTGCTGTTTTATGTAGCCCCATATTCTGGCCAATAGTTAGTACTCTGAGAAAGCTGGTGTACTCTGAGTAGCTGGTGAGGAAAGAGGAGAGTGAAGCAGGAAGGCAAACTCCAGAAAAGCTCTCATTCAAGAATATTTACATAGGAAATGGTTCTGCTTGACAAGCAGTTACAGGGAATACTTGTTGGTGTAACTTCCATATTGTAGAAACATCTCCTTAATGCTGCTACTCAGCAGCTGGTTTTGTACTGTAGATTAGTTTGTTTTTTAAGTTCCCATAGCAACATTTAGTTAAGAAAAAAAACCTGTGATTCTGACCTTGACTGGGAGCTCAGATGCTCTCTTTCCATAGCCCTTTCAAACCACAAGGCACACTAGTTATGCCTGATTACTGACTATGCTCAACACAATCAACTTGTTTCAAGAGAAATTCTCTGGGGGATATCTGTACCATTTTCAGTACTGTAAGAAATTAAGCCAGGGACTGCCACGTCCCCGGTATCCTTTTGTGATATAGTCTGCATACTTGATTCTTTACACTGTTGTTATCCTCCTCTATTTTTTTACCTCTGCAGAACTGTATTTCATGATGGCAAGCAATGGACTAACAAATCACAGTGTTTTAGAAGAAGGCTGTAGTAAAAACACTTCCCCACAACTAATCACTAGCCCTTACTCTCAGCTAAACACTTCCTGCCCAACCCAGTTGTATCAGACATCACAATACACATGGTGAGAAGACAGGCAGCATTCCCTACATGTATCCTCCGAGACAGAACTTTCATTTCTCTTTACCAGTGCATGTCAAGGAGAAAGAGGTGGTTTCCTCCAGTCAGGTTCAAGCCAACGCCTCCAGCCAGCAATGAGACCAACATTACCTTCAAAGGCCAAACGAGAGTGTAAGGAGCCTGTTTTCAGAAAACTAATGCTTCATATACCCCACATATTACATTTGATCCAGAGGGTCTGCTTGTCATATTTATATTACATGTGTGTATTTATTATGCATTTGGGAGCTTGCCAGACATTACTTGATGAGGCATAAAAGCCAGGACATGCAAATCAATGGCTCAGAGAGGCCTACTTACCATTCCATATATATATGTATTATATATATATTACCCTGATACATTTTTACTGACTAGAGAAAGGACTGAAAAGCTCAAATTCTGTGTCCTGCTCAAATGACCAGCCTCTCTGATGACAGCCTCTTGCCAACAATGGGACCGATCAGCACCAACCCTGAATTAACAATAATGATTACTTAAACCCAGGCAACTGGACTGAAATGGCCTGCTACTCCTTTCATTTTTTTTCTATATAACCTACTTACTATTTAGAAAAAGATGAGTACCTGGGAAGGAATGGGATATAGCAGATGGTCAAAATTTAGAGATTTCTTGCACAGCAAGAAAAGAACTCAAAGACAGAGACACTCACTACATACATATTCATTACTCAGTTTCATGCCATGGTACCTTAAAGCCCTGATCTTATTTAAGAGGTCAGCAATTCTTACAGCTGGCAGAAATCTTCCTTTGATTAAGTTCAAATCTAGAAAGAGAAACATCTGTTTTGTAGATAGCAGCTTGTTCAGGAACTTGAGCAAAGAAAACAAGCCAAAGCACCACATTCTTCCCTTCCAGTCACAGATCCATCCTCAGAGGAAACAGCCTGTCCTACCTCAATCACAGGAACATCAATGTCCAAATGAAGTGACTAACACAATGATTAAGTCTGAACAATTAATTTGGATTCAGATGTGTTTAGTCACGTGTCAAAGGTCCAAATGAAAGTAGATTCCAGTAAATAGAATTATAAAGTCAGCTATCACAGCTGCTCATAGCAGTGCTAGTAACTGTTTCTCTACCCAACTGCATACCTGAGGCCCTTTGGGATTTTTATTGAACTCTTCTACCACATCCATTCTCTGTTTAGGATTGACAGAGCCATCCACCGTTGCACACTTCAGCCCTAGTCGCTGGAGGTGTTCAGCCACAACTTTCAACATACTTGTCCACTGAGAGACAACAACACTGGAGTGAGAGAAAAGGAAGTAAGTTTTGTGTGTACTGTAACAGTTTGGTTATTGCAGCGTCTCACCCAAGACAAAGGATTCAGGCACTCTTCCACATGGTGAATTGAAGCCAAGTCCCTTCCCAATTCAGAAATAGATTCACCTGTAAGTGTAGTGGTAGAACCTGCTGTGGAAGGTTCATCCACCCAATAAGCTTCAGACAAACTAGGCCTATAACTTTTAATTCGGCTTTTGGATTTACATTGCCACCTACCAGTCACAATTCTGAGCTTTTTCTGCAAAATGAATCAATAGCAACACCAAACTTGGATTCCCCTGGGCTTCTCACTCCCCACATTTTTTGGATTATAGAGCAATAATTTGTTCAGTAGCTTCTTGGTAGGGAGCAAAAGTAATGTTGGTGTTCCTGTTCTTATAGTGGGAATGCTTTTTAGAAAAGACTTTGGAAGAAAGCTTTCTACATATGGTACAACCCTGGAGTTGTACAAGAACATGACTTCCCCTTCCAATCCATCCCTAAAATAACACAGGTCTAACTACTTTGCAGCCACACACCTGTAAATGCATCATTCTACAGTTTAATAAAACCAAGCAGAAAAACCTGTAACACTGCAGTCTGGTGTGGAGCAAAGACAGATAGAACTTGCACAGCAAGAGCTGCAGGACTTCAGAAAAACCGAAGTCCTCTGATCAATGCATTCGTTTATTTCCAACAGGTACAGTTTTAACCACTACTTTATTCCCCCACTTTTTCTAGGTGGTGGGATGGGTTGGAGAGGTGAGGGCAAATATTTTTCAGCACAGCAAAATTATTCCCAGTTTTGGTTTTGGAGAATAGTCCTCCTGGGCCTCAAGGCTTGAGATTTCTCACACGCTCCCTTACACTTACCTACATCTTAAACTACCCTCTATTGTCTTAGATTTTTTTTTTTCTCCCCTCAAAATCTGCTTTCAGCTACTGCCACCATTTTACCATGCCAGGAGTTTTGTATGCAATTAATTTAAACTATCTGTGCTGCTTTCAAGAGACGTGCTTCTCTCAATCACTGCAACTAAAGAAAACGACATGCTTACTGACCTTTTCTGAGGCTTGGAGTGGATAGTTTTCAGTTCAGCCAAGAGGTGAGCTATCTGCAGGGGGAAAAAAAAAAAGTCTGTTTGCTGTCATAACCCACCTCATGCTTGACTACTCTTTATTAAAATAGGAAGTGATCAAAATAACTTTTCAAGTGGAATTTCTTCCGTGCTCAGATTTTCAACATATTTTAATAGTCGTTAATAAGAACACTCCCACCATTGCAAACAGTGTTAAGAAATCAAATCATATAAGCATGTTTTACAGATTCCAACCTTCCTGTGAGAAGCAAAGATACTGTCACCTCTCCTCTTGTTGCCATCCCATTTTTCTCTAGCTTTTCACAAGAACCATGCTCTCACATGGATGCTTTTCTAAACTTCTGTGAATCCAACACTCAAGATTTTCACTGACACTTTTTCACAGCACTGCCAGATTCTCACAGCTTTATTAGAAGTGCCCATAAACACCTGATAAGTTGGACCCTTCCCAGAAGGGGTTCAGTAGACTATCATTTACTCACCTGATTCCATCAAAATTACCAACTTGGCCTCATTTCTAATTACCAACGTGTGACAATTCATTAACAATTTAAAAGGCAAAGTGCTGAAATCCCAGCTTCTCAACGAAGGTAGGAAAGCCACAACCACAATACCTTGGTACTCTCCCTGGTGATGTCAAAGATATCTGTTTGAAAAGCTGTGCCACTGAGGTAGACTGTCGAATTGGAATCAGGAGTCTGGAGCTCAGACAGGGTCAAAGCACTAAGCTGTTCCTCAATGGAGAGGGAAAGGCCTTCACTGTTCAAGTTAGCTTGGTCCAGAGCCTGTGGGAAAGCAAGCAATATGATGATAAGGAATCACAGTCGAGGCTGAGATCAAATTCAGTACCGATCCACAGTCTGCATGATGTCTGCTGAGGACAGTGGGTTTGAAGGAAATTATAAATATGAAGACAGGATGATATGAACACAGACCAACAGTCTCTTTGGCCCCTTATTCTGCTCCAGGAAGAGGCAGTGTAGGGAAAGCATGTGAGCTCAGCCATTTTCTGTGGTCCAGTCTCCTCAGATTCCCCCTTCCATAGCATTTAACAACTGCAGGATTAAAGATGTCAGAAGATAAATACTTGCCTGTTCCCTTAGTATCTGGATTCATTCTACAGTTTATTTATATAACAGAGCAAGAACTTCTGAAAGATTGGATCCACGAACTTCTGAAAGATTGATCCATTTCATGCAAGGCAACTTCGGTCAAGGAACTTACAGAAATTTCCAACACACAAGCCTTTGTAGCAGGCTACACTTGTGGACTTGTACACTTTTCAAGAGTAGGTTAAGATCAAGACTTCTTCTTTGCCATTACAATTCTATTATTTTTTTAAAAATCTGAATAAAGGTATTTCCCAAGACACAGCTGCCCACATAGATCATGCTGGGCAACTTTTCTGTAGGAAGTATGCCTAAAAATCTCTTGGGTTGTAAAACACAGTCCTGGAAATGGCTCAGTTCATCCACGCCTAGCTATGAGATTAAGTAAGGGTGTTACAAAGTCTGTTAATTCACCCAAACACGTAAAAAAAAGTCCACAAAAGAACCCCACGCCACTAAAATATAATGCAATTACCACTTTCAGTAAGGAGAGATGGCAGCAGCACTGTCGGAGCCTCAACAGCATGGACAAGACGTGGACAGTACTTGAGACCTGGGAGGCACTTCTGGAGTCTGCTAGAAATTCCTTTTGACTGACCCTAAACTCTTGTGCAACTGCCAAAGGAAGACAAAACATCAAAAGCTCTTTGAGGCATTTCCAAGCATTGCCCAGCCACCTCCGGCAAAAGCTCCATCAATAAGAGAACCAACAGGTAAGCGAATACCTGATGTAACTAGGAACCCATCAAACCCTATAAAAAAATCCCAAAACCAACCAACCAAACAAACAAAACCCAAACCACAAATCACTGTCGCATACCTTACACTAATACTGACATCTCTTCTCTGAGCAATCAGACCTTTATTTCAAGGGGGAATTTTAGACAAAGGGAAATCAAAAGATTTGCCCAGAGCCACATCAGTGGGAACAGACTTTTGGAATACTATGGTAGAATTCTTTGTAACATCAGGGGAGCATTTTTAAAACAATTTCTAAAGCCCCAACCCCACATGGTCAGCTCTGTTCCCCCTCCTTAACTGTGCACTTAAGGGTCACTTCTGCAAATGGTTTCAGAGGAGGGTGTACTCAAACCTTTCTCAAATGGGTTGCCACCAGCATACTCTCTGCCTTCATTTTTCTGCTCTTGTCTCTTTAGATAGGATTGTAGTGCTGACCTGGAAAAACAAGGCAAAGACTGTATGATTTACTGCAGAAAAAAAATGCAAGAGGGACCTGAGCTTGACCAAGCAAGCTGATGCCACGTTAAGGTAAGAAAGGTTTCATTAATCATCTAGTCACAAAATGATCACAAACACCCCCACCCCCATCCCACCCCTGTTTTGTTTAACTTGAATACGATCAAAACCAAGATCTAGTTTGGAAAGCGCAAGAGGAAGCAAGTCTGCTTACTGGAATACCTTGAGTATAATAGGAGCCAGGGCCCAATGGGTAACTTTCTTCATAAACAAAGGGACACTTTTAAACGTATATTTAAAAGCAAGGAAGACTCTTTACAGCAATACTGTTGAAAGGGACCCGAGGAAAACGCAAAGTGACACTGGCTTGCATTACAGCCATCTAGAGAAGCCAGCATAATTTCTGATTGTATACATATCACAGGCAAAGAAGATAAATTCTCTCCTTTACAAGTACTGGCACATCATCATTTAAGAGCTACTGTTGCAATTCCAAGCCTTTGGTGTCTTGAAATCAATGAGATTAAGTGTAAGGTTAGAATACAAAGCTCATACAAGGCATAAGCATATGGGAGAAAATAAATTAATCAGTTTCAACTCTTACCAGAACAAGTGATGACAGATGGGGGGAAAAAAAAAAAAACAACAAACCACCAAACCCCAAATAAAACAGGAATTTGTCCTAATACTCTTCGTATCTAAAGAAACAAAACCCTATCTCTACCCACATTCATACCTGTATTTTTCAAAGAGCACATTGTACACAGACTGCTCCTCTGCTGAAAGTTTTAACTGATGCAACCGTGTGCTACGCTGGGGCAGAGATACCTGAAGTAAAAACACACAGGGTCACATGTATATAGAAATCTTATACAGCATCACAAACACCAGCATTCTAAGATTTAACACCGTATCCTACATCTTGTTAAAGATTTAAAGATATTTGCATTAATACAACTATGACACAGCACAGATACTCACAGAACTCCAAGTAGCCTGGTTAACACTCAAGATAAAAATCTTTATTCCAAATCATCTGGTAACAAAAGGCATGAGCAACTAAGTATGGACTGCCAGATAACTACCATAGAGGGATCCATTAATTGCACTGTAAAAGTAGTTCCCTGTTCAGAATCAGACAGTACACCAAAACTGCACCTTTTAAAGGCTTACAGACACACCAGTGACCTAATAGTCAGTTTAACAGCCCATTTGTAAAAGGTAATACAGAAAGCCAATGCCCCAGCACACACCAGATCCATTTGACATGCAGCAGCTTTGATTCTTAGAGCTAGCTCAGTGGAAAGTTAGGCTGAGTCCCTAAGTGGACATGTACTTGCTGCAATTACTTGACATATTCTAATCTGCATGTGATTTATAACTAAAAGGTTTAATTATTCTGTGTATTCCTGCTTTCTGGATAAGCAATCTTAGCATTCCACAGGCATTCACTCCTGTGAAACCGCAGTAGACAGGAAAACCCACCCATTAACAAATTTATGCATGTAATAACTAACAGGCTGCTGCAAGGAAAACAATGGAATGATTGTCTAGTTGTGGAGGGTGAAGTTCTTACCAAGGGCTTGCCAGCTGAATCCAGCTGGTCCTTAGTTCTCCGTAATAAGAGGCTCCTGGTTAAGAGGCTTAGCCTCTCTCCTCCCTTCTTTGTGTTGTTATCTACCTGGTACTTCCACACTTTGTATTCATCAAAAGGAGAGCACCGTAGAAACCTACAACAGGAAGGAAGTAGACTTCATACCAAGAGAAGAGTTCTTCAGTTACTCTTGAGTGAGCAGAACCAAATTCCTTCCTATCCAAACCAAACCATTTCCAAATGCTGTAACTGCCAGGAGCAGTAAATAACACTTCTGCTGTATTGGCATTGATAACTTGCTTGTTCAAAAGCCTTCCCACCACTAACACTGTGAAAGCACCTTTCCAATTCTGTACCCATCACTTCCTCTTCGTTCATTATGTCTCAAACATCATCAGCAAATGAAGTGTGTATTCATTTATTATTTCAGAATCCCATACCGCTTACTTGAATATTAATTTCAATTAACCAGAATTGGTGTTAAATGCAAGTTCTCTCTGTTTCTCCAACACCCTTCATAAGCTCCACACCCCTCCCCAGCAATGAGGAGCAGAGTTTATTTAACCTGCTTATCACTTGTTTAGAGAAGCCAAAGTTTTCACCCTTTCCTTCAATTCCCTTACAGCAGAACACTCTTTAATAAGGTCATCCCAGGCTGCCTGGTAGGAACAAAGTTTTTTGCACAAAACTTCTATTCATTAAAATCTGTTTTGTGGATATTCATCTTTGAGATGTAGGATCTGAAATAATTTCCCCTTTGTCCTCTATGGAAGCAGAAGAGCTACACGCAACAGTAGACACATGGTCAGCCTTGTACAATGCCTTAGTCCTTGCAATCTAGTGCCTGAAGTGTTAATATAACTACTCTCACTACCCCACGTATCTTAGAAACCTCTCAAACTTCAAATAACTTCATCAGCGAAGAATTACTGGAATTGGAGCCCTGCCCATGTGATCACGTGCAGGCAGCTCACCTCAGGAGAGAGTACATGTCCAGTAAGTTGTTCTGTACTGGCGTCCCAGTGACAGCCCATCTGGCACTGGCTCTCAGTTTGCAGACAGCTGTAGAGGTTTGAACCTTTGGGTTTTTAATATTGTGAGCTTCATCCAATATAACTCGAGCCCAAGCTACCCTGAGCAGAGGGGAACAGGGAGATGATCCTCTCTGAAAGAAAAAGCAGACTATTTACAACCCAGAGCAATAACCTTGCTAGGCACTCTGAAGAGCCACAATCAAACCTATTTTTCCAGCAAGAAGCCTTTTCCTGATGTTAGGCTAAAATTATCTTGAGCTCTTACTGTCATTCATGTAGGTTATGCTTTCAAAAAAATCATTTCTTCAAAGCTTCCATGAATATTTATAAACTGAAGAATATAACATGTTTGCCTGTTCTTAACAACAATTTCTGATCTTTTGCTGGTTTTCTTGCTTTTAATATTGTATCACCTCTTTCTTCCCAAGAGGCATTTCAGACTGACCCAGAGCCTGAGCATGACAGGCTTCTGGTAGTTTAAAGTGATATTAGTGCTTCAAGCAGCAAAGAACACAGAACATGAGAGTCTAGTGTTCTTTCAGTCTCACCTCAAGGTGAGACTAAAATGACTTCTAAGTCATTTCAACTGTATTCAATGTAGCATATTCCATATTACTAGAGAACAGGTTTACTGTTAATATATTTCTCCATTGTCTTTCTGCCCTTAATAGCAGTTTCTCTCACCACTTAATTTTTATTGTGCAAACTCAACAGGGGACTCATGGAAAAAAACAAATTCAACCTGCTCACTGTAGCAACAGAAGGTGCTACTTGAAACAACAATGGTGTGCAACACCTCAGAACTCTTACTAAGAATAATCTTCTTACTAACAGTATGGCTTCTCACCGTCACATCATGGTCCTCTGCAGGGACTTCCCACTCCTCTTTGCTTGTGGGGACCTCTTTAGATAGAAGGCTGTAGGTTGTGACAACAACATCATATCCAGAGAGCCTGCATAAAGGGAAAGTAGTAATAAGGAGCAAGAACAAATGAGAATTTATTTTGCAAGACAGACAAAATGCATGCTGAAGGTTTAAGAACAACCCACTTCTACAAGAGCTGAAATGCAGAGTTTTACAGAAAACTGAGCTTCATGGCAGTCAACAGAAAGGACACATTGTCCCCATTTTATGGATACCAGAGGTCGGCACAGCAAGCTCAAAAAGACACTAAAAGCCAGTGGCGCAGAATACACACCACATAAGAACAACCCACTTAGCATCTGGCACCTAAAAATACTGCTCCGCATGGCCTAAAGTGGTATAGAAAATTTTCTGATTTATACATTAAGCTGATGATAAAAAAAATACACCCATAAAGCACAAGCATGGAAGAAACCGACAATCTCTGCAAGCAAGAGATGTTTTAGAGAATATACACTTTCCCCCCGCCTCTCTTATCAGGAACAGCAATAGCATGCACCAGAACCACTCAGCATGGGTACAGGCCATAAAAGTTTTGCTATATACACCTTGACAGCAGACATCAGCCTGACTTTGTGGATCCTCCACATTTCCATACCTCAGGTTCTTTCATCATTCTACAGTCACCGAATTTCACCTTCAATCTACACAATCTCTTGCTAAGTAGCATTTTATTCTTCTTGGTCACATTTACGGTTTAGCACTTACCCCTCAGCATGTTTATCTCTGTTTGGCCCATGGTACAAATAGACCCTCAGTTTGCCAAAGCCCACATGCTTGTCAATCTCTTTCTTCCAGTGATGGATCAAGGACGCAGGACAAATTATTAAAGTGCTGCAAGAAGGGATAACAGTGGAATCTGCAGGAAAATATTGCAGACAGGTTTCAATGTCTTCACATTAGACTACAAAAGACAGAAGTTTTGGAAATTCACAACAATTAAGAAGATTGGTCCACTTTTCCTGTGACCACAGTCTGTGAAGCGGACACCTCTACAGTGTGTTTTTGGGAACTGTTGGTTCTGAGTGCAAAAATCTCTACTTAAACACTGATGCATCACTTCCTGTCCACTCAGAGTTATGCTATATTATCTGTGCACCTCCTTTGGATAAGCTGAAAGGTTAGAATTCAGGAACTAACTGACCTCTCCCGAGAACACAGCATCAAATAAATTCTTCTTTCCTGATCTAGAAGATTGAGACGTTACTGCTTTGAACCACACAAGAAAACCAAACACACAGTCAGTAAACTTGGCAAGACAGGAAAAGTAGTCCAACCAGTTCCATGAGGATGGAGACTGTAACAGATTGTGAACACAGAAACAATACCCTTTAAAAACTCTCACATCCCTTATCTCTACAGACAAGATAAAAATAGTATTACTGGGGGATTGGGGAGGGGGTGGAATCAGTCACAGGGAAGTGAGTAGTAACTCATTTAAGTCACCATGAAAACTATGAATATGTTGAAAAAACTGAAAAATTTTCAAAACAGCATATGCTGGTTTTAACTGGTTCAGGAAACAAATCCATAAAAAAATAACACCCCAAACAATATAAAGTAATGAGCTGGGAAACCCTACACATCCAATGGAAGAACAAATGACTGATCAAGAGAAAGGCCTTGCAACGGAGTGCAGTAAACATTAGGCCCCCTGCAATATTCCTGCAGAAGTGAAGTGAGCACAGGTAGCCATTAACCTATAGCACTTCATGATGCAGTACCATCTGAAATGCCTGCAGTGTGTACTGTGTGATGGAAGCAATTTTGTACCATTTTTGGATAGCCATATTTCTAACTTCTTCTCTCTTTTCTCTGTCTTCAGCTGCTTCTGGGCCAGAATGAGAGCAATCATCGTTAGAGTCTTCCCCAGGCCCATGTCATCCGCTGGAAAAAGACAAAAGTTGTGATGATCTGTAGAAATGAGCCCCCCTAGCTCAGATGTACACTGAGGTAAATACCACAACATATTGGAACTCAGGAAATAAAAATACACACGATATATACACGATATCATTTAGGAATGGATTAATAGCAGTAATCAATCAAAGGGCACATTAAAACAAGCCCATTCAACATGTCTGCAAAATAACTAGTTACTGGTCTCCAAGTTATGTGCCAAACTGTTTTTGCCATAAACCTGCCTCCCAAAATCCACTTTCTTGTTCTGTTGCTTACCCAGAATTCCTCCACACGGCCTCTGACTCTCTCTCCAGAGTAGCCATGTGAGCGCCTGTTTTTGATGCGGCAGCAGTGAAACCTGAGAGGGCAAGACAGAGGATGTGAAGAAAACGCCTTGCAAAGTTCAGACCCTTCAGCGTCCCGTACCAAATTATCCAGTTGATCTGTCCTACTACCATCTTACTAAAAGGACTTTTGCCTACCTGTTTTTTTCCCACATGGACAGGGATACCTAAGATAAGCAATTCCTGCAGACAGGTATGCTGACCGCACTGCTATGGTCAGCAGTACCATAGGTCAGCCTTCCTAATGCGTTATACACAAACCAGCCTCGTGCCTCACAGTGCTCTGAGAGCATGTAAAGGTGGCTCATTCAGGTGGAAAATCCACTCAAGCCTACCTTGCTCAAAACAGGCATTACTCTCAAGGAGAGGGATTGAGAACACTTCCCCTTTCTCACCAAGTCCAAGACCTCTACCGACTCTTAAAGCACAAAAGACTACATCCTATCATCATGAGACATGAAATGGCCTTCCCCAGTACTAGAAAGGTCTCAAAAGGATCTGACAATGACACAACATATATATATATATATATATATATAT